CTCGCTTGTGAAATGAAATGACGAGTAATTCATTTGTTGTATTGGTTGTGTGAATTTTCTCACTGATGTTTAGGACTGCAAATGATCAGTCTCTTTGATATATGTGCATCCTGGTCAAAGAATACAAAAGTAGTACTTAACTTATCTTAACCTTGTGCTTCATTTCAAATTCGAATTATTACCAAGATCTCAACTTGAAAACCAGTCAATTCTAAGTCACTAACTAGTAAAGTATCATACATTTCTCATCTATATATTAGTTAAAACTTCTTTCATACTTACTAAACAATTCAACTTTTTATATGCTCATGAATTTGATAGTACACTTTGTTTATAACTTACAAAATATCATCAAATTTAAATCAATTTTCGGAAGAAAAAATCATCCAAATAATGAATATATTCTTATTCATTTTATCTTTCTACAGTTTTAAAGTAATAAGTGAGATGCATGAAATAATTAAATTAAGTGCAAATAATATTTGTCAAAACAAAGAAATATGAAAAAAAATAAACAATCAATCATTTATCAATGCGCAAAAATAATAACATAATCTTTTAAATGAATTCATACTGACTAAGTCATTTCTATACAAAAATCATAACAATTCTTAAGATATTCAGTGAATCATTGATTAAGCAACAAAATAATATTCACACTTGAAAATCAATCAACCGATTGTAATGTAATCTCTAATGTTATTTATTCATTTTCTGCATCAGTACACACGGCAAGAAAACTACTTACTTACGCTTGTTACCCCCGATTGGAGCATAGGTCGCCGTCCACCAGTTTTATCAAACCAATTCTGTCCAGAGCTTCCCTTTCCAGATCTGTTCAATGTTTGTTCATTCTTCTCATATCGTTCTCTATTCTCGGCGTAATGTGTTCATTGACCTTCCTCTTTTCCTTTTGCCTTGAGGGTTCCATGTGAGGGCTTGTCTTGTGACGCAGTTAGGTGCTTTCCGCAATGTGTGTCTTATCCACTTCCACCGCTTCTTTCTGATTTCCTCCTCCACTGGAATCTCGTTTGTTCTCTCCAACAGTAAGTAGTTTCTGATAGTGTCTGGCCAACGAATCCGAAGTATTTTACGTAGACAACTGTTAATAAACACTTTTGTCTTCTGTATGATGCCTTTCGTAGTTCTCCAAGTTTCCACTCCATACAATAGAACTGTCTTGACATTTGTATTTTTGCTATGACCTGATGGACTTTTTCTCTTGACATTTTTGGTATTTTATTTGATTCCAATTTGAGATTTTACCATTGTATGTTGTTATTCTTTCCATATTTTGTACTTATATTGAAGTTTTTGTGTTTGCCTCTGAATTGTACATATATTGTTTAAATTTGATATAATATGGCTACCGCCACATTTTTGGATAGACGCGGTGGCTGCTGGACTTAGTGTCACTTACTAGCTATTGTAATAGATACTCTACGGAGTAATTTAGTCCTGGAAGAAACAAAAACATCGTAAGCCTCTGTATTTCCATTTTATAACAATATAGAGACGTTTTCTCCTAGAATTTTTGGCCTTCTGATTTGGCTGGGACCTGGATCTAGGGGTATCGTGCCGGTGTGTTTCTATTGGACGCGATTAGGACAGCCGCCGGCGAAATAAATTCTACAACACTGATGGAACAAAAAACAAGGGGGAGACTTTCAGAGCATTGATTCTTTGCAAGTAATGATTGATGGATGTTTCTACTGGGTTAAATTACACACGGGAATAAGAGTATTAAAGTAATTAGCAACATATGTAACTATGGGATGTAACTGAAATCCGTCTGGCTAATCACTTTAGGTTTGTCACACAGACGAAGAAACATTTATTTTTTGGGGGAGGCAACAGATAATAGTGAGCTTGATTTTTTCCTAGTCGTGCGATTGTAGGACGTTAGGGTTGACGAAAAGGAAGCGATCCATGATGCTCGAGTTGTCACCGGTCTTTAATAAAGAAGGGTACCAGCAGTAGCGTGCCATATTTTTTGCTCCAGTTAGCATACCACACCAGAGCGGTTCGTATCCAGAATTTGAAGGCTGCGTTCGTGGGGGTTCGGGACAGAAAACGCTGCAGACGTAGGACGGAACAGCATTGAGCCAAGAATCCAGAAGCGACCAAGGCAACCAAGTTCGAGACCATACGTATGCCAGACGTAATTAAAACCAGCACGTTCACTCAGTGCACTGACAAAAGCGTGAGTGATCAGGTCAGCTTTCGCTAAGATTGATTGAAGTCGATGGTACCAGCGTAGTGAAGGAGAACACAGGTGAGGGAAACCGAATTGTATTTAACGAAAATTACAGAGTTACTCAGTAAAATAGGAAAACCATATCGTAACCGTTAATTTGCAAATCTTCAATCCGTCATCAATCCATTGTCTGACATTTCAATATTCATACAAATTCCATTGTGTTCCCACTGTTACGTCCAGTTTTTTGCTCGTCGATCTTACGAAGCACTGTTGTCGTCTATTGGTAATTCAAGGTCCCAAATTTCTATACCAAGAACGAAACTCCAAAGTAGATACCAAAGTTTATTCCAAATCACAAATTCCACCAAAATAATTTATTACAAATAGACGACCAATGTCGTTCTAACAACAATAATTATAATAATTACAATTACCTTCTAATTTATTATCTCTTGGAGCAAAAAACTGCAACGAACAACAAAGAGAAACGGGAGTCCAATATGTCCGCAAATAATAATTCAAACAAGTTCATAAGTTAAGTAAAACAAATGTACCCAAAAACAGTGAAGTTAATGATATTTATACATGAAGGTTTTGATCAGCAAAATGTCTTCGTTTCTCCCGTAACACCCACTCTTCCTTTCTTGATCTTCCCCCATCTTCTGCTGCGAGACATTACGTTTACACTCGCGTCATATACTACTTATAAGTAGTGCGCACCACACCGGCACAGCGATGGTCAGATGCGTGGGATTATTATAAAAAAGTAAAGGAGAGAGAGAAATGTGTAGCATGCATGTTGCATGGGGACAGAGTCCTACGACGTATTCGTTGTTGATTGAGAAGCTGGTCGCTAAAGCATACAGGTAGGCGTACTGGACGACCGGAACGTGAGACGGTAGTCCTATTTGTACCTCTTGGTTCAGAGCTTGAGACTGAAATCTCATCCGAAATCAAGGGCGGAGTGGTCTGATGATCTGGACGTGAGATTGAAGTCTCATACGTAGACGGTGCACATGTCGCGGAGGCAGTATTCGCATGAACGCAGATAGTTGTTGGACTTTATCTGATATACATAAAATTGCTGCTTCGCCGTGTGAAAAAGTAACAGGGGCAGATGAAATTACGTGCCAGAGGCGGGACATTAAATATCTGCTGTTACTGCTCTGTAATCACAGCATGGTCTCCAAGTAATGCCATCTTTTTTGCAAATCGAGTGGAGAGTGTAGGCCCAATGATTATGAGAAGAGCGAACAGATACATACAGCAAGTAAACTGTCAGACTCACGCTTGGCGGAAACTTAAATGTCCAGCGGCAGTAGGCGGGATTTAGACGTGACTGGTAGCCTGCAAACGATGTGGCTTATCACAAATAATCCATAACATCTCCATGAACTTAAAGCGTTTTGTACGATATACTTCTTCGCGGGATAACAAATGTTACTCCCGGACTCAAAGAATCAAGAAAGCGATTCTAGAGGAAGAAGAATATCTGATACTGGCCTCGTGATATCGAAATAACATTGAGGCAAGAGGGTGTACGGAAAGCTAGCGTCCACGCAGGAGACGTGCGAAGAGGCGAATGGGAATAACACGCTTGGAGCGCGAGAGATAGTTTTTAGTACAGATAAACAAGAGGTGTAAAGTATAACAATTGTTGTCAGAATTAAGTACAATAATAAATTTTTATATTTCAGCAGTTGTGTAAGTGAAAGTAAATCACTACAAATTCATCAAATATAAAATAAATGTTCATGTAAAAAAATACACCAATGATTCGGTACACATCTGCTGGAGCCTTTAAACCCTTGTATTTATTATTCGACCAAGTATCGATTAACTACAGCCTATGTGAATTGAATAGCGATTCACATTGCTGTAGGGAATTGATACCGAGTACTGCTATGAGAACATCAGCAGGAATGAACGTCCTTAGATACTGTCGTTGAATACACAGGTTGATCGTTAGCTGTTGTGTGCTGTAGACAGGAATGACAAAGTCATGTGCAATGTGTAGTCGAAGTGTTGTAGTTTGAGATTTGCTGCTACCAAATGATACGACAGAAACTTGGATATCTGTGGTCAGTAGATACCTCGCGTTAGTGCGAAAATCGTGCATTAATTAACAACCAGAAGTGACGAAAAGGAGACATGTGGAAATGCGATGACCTGCACCTCGGAGTCTATTATATTATAGCAATCCATCATTTTGAAACGCAGTTGCAGGCGCAAGTCGTCGACCAGTGTTCTCCAGCAGACACTATCCTGGCCTTCCCTCTCCGGTTCTGTCCAACATTTTTGCTATTTCTCGGCCTAAAATGTTTCTTGGTCTTCCTCTTTTCCCTTGACTTTGAAGGTTCCAAGTGAGGGCTAGTCTTGTGGCGCAGATGGGTGCTTTTCGTAGAATGAGTTTTCTTCACGTCCACTTCTATTAAAGCAATCGTGTTCTCTTCATAAAAGAGAAGTCACTACACTCTCACTAGATAATGATATTGTAAGTGAAAATATAATGATGGAAAACTAAGTATTGATGTGATCATGAATTGTTCATTATTATCTGCACGCAAAATGTACAAGTAAATTTAGTGAACAGACAAACTAATGGTCGCAATAAAGATATGAAATATTCTGGGTATACAAATGATCAGAACGTTAAATACCTAAAATTCCAATACAAAACAAAGACTTTTTAATTTTTTGAAACTGGTCACTATAAAATGCAACGTTTGTGTTTTTAATTTGTATATCTGAATGTTTTGCAGTACCACAAATATTAAGAATTATCACAGTTCCCTAATTCTTTGAATGTCTTCACTGAAGGTTGTTATGACCTTCACACTTTTCAATATCATTAGGTATAGGTGGTAACCTTGTTCGTCATAAAATGTCGAAGTCATCGTTACCGGTAGACATTTTCTTCCAAAACTTTCGGTTTTTGAAAAAGACGATAGTGGTCAATAACGATGACTATAACAGTGCATTCAGAGCCCTTAATAAGTGAGCCTAGTTTACTGTTTACTATGTTCTTAAAAGACAATTCTGTAAATTTTATTTCACGCCTATACGTGTTTCGAGAAATACACGAAAAATTAAGAGCTCATCATTTCTTCCTTTGAAAGCAGCATAGGGTAAAGTTCAGTCATAAACATCAGTAGTTTTGTGAGTAGTTTAGCTTGAATCATGCCGTTCTAGATAATGATAAATACCGTTAAGTTTCCTTCAGCAACCAGTTCTAGACATTGGTAGCTTAGCTGTTACACTCAGCCAATGTAATGACAATGTTTAGTAGTTTGAAATTTTCGGAACCTTTATAAAACTGCGGTAGAACGGTTACTTATCCTAGCTCAACTGCTGTATGTGAGAGCTAATATTACCTGAAATATAATCAACAGTGTGATAATCAGGTATCAGCAAAATAACCCCATGCAAAACATTGATTCAGTTGTAGCCTGCGTATGATCCATCCAACTCAAAACAGTACATAAACTCTGAAAGAAGATCGAAGTAATGGACGATTATTTTATCACTGGGATTGAAGCTTGTGTAACTTGATTGGAGGTACAAATAGAATATTTAGGGGAAATCAGTGGATAACGAAGGTTATTATGTCAAATCTATATAACTATAAGTTGTGACCAAGCATTTGAACTTCAAGCACATTCAATCCTATTATTTAACTTGTGCTAAATAATGTGATTAACTCGCATACCTTATAAATGTATCCTTATAACCTGGCTTTGTTTGTTTATCTGTCTAACCGTATGTTAATCATATCCTGTCAATTTTGTTTACCTAAAAATGTTTGAGCTAAAGTAATTAAATTTCACTTTAAAGATTGGACTCAATCAAAAGCATGGCACAAATCTATGAAGTCACTGACGAGTAAACTGAACCATGTTGGTAAGTGTAGAATACCTGGTTCAGGTGAGCAAGACAATAGTAATTGATCGCTAAAGACCTTAAACGACATGACTCAAAATAGTTTGCAATGGCGCAGGTGTATCCATTATTTGTGTTCTCTCAAATCCTAATCTTCTGGATTCTTTATCACCTTTATCTTTGTCTTTTTAAGTTTATTTCACTGAATTATACTTCTCGAACAATATCGTCAAACCCTAATCTCTCCAATTACTGCTTATGCTTCTACTGCATCTACTAATAGGGGATTTGAGCTGACATTGACGTCTGTGTGCCAGTGTGATATCGCAACTTGAACTTATGTATGTACATATGAAGTGATTTGATTCATTTCCCCGACCGTAGTTACTGCCTTTTCGTGGTGTTCGGGTATACCTAATGTGATGATCCAACCGAGCTACACTTGCTGGAATATGTGTTTATTTGGGTCCTATCGTGCCAGGCAGATCTATTGGAGGACTGTAAGACTAAAAGCAGCAACTTAAGGTCTGAGGGTATCGTTGCACTGCTACTTGTAAAGGGTTGTGGCAGCAGTCAGGTATTTTCTTCGGACAACCAGCATATGTCGTGGTACTGCCTCCTCACAACGACAGAAAGGAATTAGAAAAGGTTGACCTTAAAAATGCTACCTCACCTTACTCTGCGAATTTCCATTTCCGGCGGTAAGGCATTTTAAAAAGCGAGGCTAACACGTTACCAGCTTCCCATAAAAGACCGCACGTAACCGACCTCAGACAGCTGTATCGCGCTCCACCTTCACGCTCCCAGATCGTTAAGACCAACGCTAATCCACCTTTACTCAGGTCTGTCAAAAAATCCCCTTCCATTATGTGGCGAGCCGGAAGGTGACATATATCCTCAAATCCGTAACTACTCATGACACCGAATTAGTCATGATCAAATTCTTCCAACACCTCTCGGTATATACATGACTAACCCTTTTTCATTCCTTTATCATCTCACACCTCTGATGCAAACGGTTTGAGTGCACGAAACATTAACGGACTACTCGAACGCCTTTCGTGGAGTAAAACCTTATGGTGCACTGTCATCTGAATTGATTACCTTGAGTTGTATTCGTCAAGGCTGTCCACTCTCTCCATTCATATTCAACTATGTCATAGACATGCTTTTAGAGACGACCTGACCGTAGCTGCTACCTTGACGTGGTGGTCGGGCTTGCCTATCGTGATGACCCAACCGAGCTATACTGGCTGGAACATATGTTCCTCAAGGTTCTACCATGCCAGACAGGTGGATTGGAAAACGATGAGACTAAAAGCAGCTACTCCAAGTCTGAGGGCGAAGTCGTACTGCTGACTGTGATGGAGGGGTGTGACAGCAGTAAGGTGTTTCCCTCGGACAACCAGCATCTGCAGTGGTGCTGCCTTCTCACAAGGAAGGAAGGGTTAGAAAAGGTCGACCCTAAAAATGTCACACCTCCCCTAACTCACGGATTTCCGTCTCCGTCGGTAAGGGTGCCCACTAAGGGCTTTTAAGAGCGGAGCTAATACTCAAAAAACTTCCCATAAAAAGGCCGTGCGTGACCGGCCTCAAAGTAGTTGTCCCTTGGGCTCTGCGATCACGCACCCAGGTCTCTAAGACCAACGCTAATCTACCTTTCTTTTTCAGGTTTCTCAAGAAACAACCTTCCACGGTGTCGGCAGCCGGAAAGTGACAACCGCCCTCATACCCATAACAGCACATGAGACCGAATTGGTCAACATCGAATCCTTCCAACACCCACACATACCTCTCTTATCTCCACGACTAACTCTCCTCACACTCCTTTATCACACTGCACAGCTAATGCAAACGATGCGAGTTCACGGAACGTCATTCCTGGTCACTTGAAACCCCGTTCTAGACTACATGCTGGAGCATTTAATATACGGACATTGTGTCAAATAGGGAAGCAGGCATCATTAGCTAGGGCTTTAGAATCTCGTGCAATCGATGTGTGGTGCGTCTCGGAAACGCGCATACAGGATCCGAGTAGCATCATTCACTTGACCTCACCATGTCAAGATGAAGAAGCAGCTCGATTTACTCTTCGTGTATCCGGTAGCCCTAATGCTATTTCCAGGGTTCTCGCTGGTGTAGGTATAGCATTGAGTCGTAGGGCAGAACAATCTCTCCTTGACTGGATCCCAATAGATAGTCGATTGTGCGCTGTCCGACTAAACGGGACAGTAAGGACTCGGAAAGATAGGGACAATCGCCGTTGCCTCTTCATCGTATCTGCCTATGCCCCCACTGAATGCAGTTCAGACGAGGTTAAGGATGAGTTTTACAGAAAGCTTTCGGACCTCCTCCAAAAAGCTAGGCGCTCTGATATAGTAATAATGTCTGGTGACTTTAATGCTCAAGTAGGTAGACTGAGTAAAAATGAAAGACACCTAGGTGGATGTTATGGTGTCGTGACTCAGAGAACAGACAATGGTGACCGTCTGTTGCAAGCATGCTCAGACAACCGCCTATTCTTAGCAAACACTAACTTTAGGCATAAGGAAAAGCACCTTTTGTCCTGGCGACCCTTGAATTCGTCTCAACTTTGGACCCAACTAGATCACATCGCCATCAGCCACCGATGGAAGGGTTCTGTAGAGGACTGTCGCTCGTTCTGGGGCACATGTTTAGATTCAGATCATGCCCTAGTGCGAGCTCGTATTTGTTTGAGGCTTACTGGGCGTAGGAAAGACACCGTAAGAAAGCCTCTTAGGGTTTTACTTAATGATAATAGGGTGAAGAATATATTTCAGGAACAACTAGAAAGACAGTTAGACGACCATTTAAGCGATTCCCATCCGGAGGCAGGTTGAAATGATGTCAAGAAGGCTGTGGAAACAGCAGTGATATCTGCTAGTAAGGTTATCCATAAGGCTAGAATGAAGCCGTAGATCTCTGTAGTATCCACCGATCTGATGGATGCCCGAAAACACATCCCACCTGGCTCTGAACACGATGAAGAACGTAGTTAGCTTGAGCGCAGGCTGACAAAAAGCCTACGTAACGACCGTGAACAGTGGTGGGTGGCGAAAGCAAAAGCGATGGAAAAGGCAGCGGCGATAGGCAACAGTAGACAACTTTTCCGACTTATCAAGGAAACTGGTATTAGGAATCATAGTGTAAGTGAGACTATCTTGGAAAAGGATGGTCTTATTATTCACTCTCAATCCAGGAGACTGTATTGATGGGCAGAACACTTTAGGGATTAGTTCAACTGGCTTGGATGTACTCTTCGGTTACCCACGATCTCCAGTCATCCTGAATGGCGAATTGACGTAAGTCCCCCTAGGCTTTACGAAGTTGAGAAAGCGTTAGGAAATCTGAAGCCAGGGGAGCTGCAGGTCCTGAAAGACTGACCCCTGAGATATTTAAGGATGGTGGTCCAGTTTTAGCAGCTAGATTGACCGATATCTTAGGCAGAATCTTGCAACTGGACGTAATCCCATCCGACTGGTCTCAATCACTGATTGTCCCGATTTATAAGAAAGGACAAAAGTCTTCTTGTGACAATCACAGGGGAATAAGTCTAACTAATATAGTTTCTAAATTGTTAGCCTCGATTATACTTAGACGCCTTACTAGTGCTCGTGAAGAGGAGACTAGAGAAAACCAGGCTGGTTTTTGACCTGGACGCGGCTGTATAGACCACATCTTCACACTACGACAGGTCCTGGAACACAGTCACACATTTAGGTGTCCTACAATAGTTGTCTTCTTGGACCTTAGGGCGGCACTTGACTCAGTGGATCGTGAGGTTCTGTGGCAGTGTGTGTCACTGAAAGGTGTGCCAAAGAAGTACATTAACCTTATACAAGCTCTCTACTCGAACACTACTGGTCGAGTGAGAGCCTATGGCGACCTGTCACCGGAATTCTCTACATCAAGTGGTATCCGTCAGGGCTGTTCACTCTCTCCATTCTTGTTTAACTTTGTCGTAGACATCCTCTTAGAGTTAACATTAAGCTCGTCAGATTTTTCAGGGGTTGACCTTCTACCAGGAAAATCGCTTACTGATCTAGAATATGCTGATGACATAGTCCTACTTGGTGAAGACGCTGACAAAATGCAGAGTCTTCCGACCACCCTAAGCAACAATGCAAGCATGTTCGGGATGTGGTTTTCCCCCTCGAAATGCAAAATGTTGCTTCAAGATTGGGTTTCATCGGCACCTGAACTAGTGATAGGGAGTGAAGTAGTCGAGCGTGCAGACCGCTTCACTTATCTTGGGAGTTCACCAGTGCTGATGGCCTGGTGACTGACGAAATCTCAGCACGGATACAGAAGGCTCGATTGGCTTTTGCCAACCTGCGTCACCTATAGCGCAGAACGGCTGTACTGTGCAGCAGTTCGCTCCGTCCTACTGTACGGATGCGATACTTGGCCGTTAAGAGTAGAGGACTTCCGTAGGTTACTAGTCTTCGATCATCGATGTCTCCGAAGCATTGCTCGTATATCGTGGGACAGCCGAGTAAGCAATGCTGTTGTTTGTAAACGAGTTCTAGGTAAGGATGGCAGATCAATAGATGAAGTAGTGAAACTTCATCAGTTGAGGTGGTTGGGACATGTGTTACGTATGCCTAACCACCGACTGCCGCGACGAGCTGTTTTGCAGTGTAGGAGTAGATTGGAAGAAAGCTAGGGGCGGCCAAACCAAAACATGGCAGAAACCCATGAAGTCACTGACAAGTGGACTGAGTCATGTTGGTAGATGTAGACTACCTTGTTGGGGTCCGCGAGACGAAAGCTACCAATGGTTAGAGACCTTGAACGACATGGCTCAAAATCGTTTGCAATGGCGCAGATGCATTTCTTCTTTGCCTTCTCTCAACTCTTAATCTTCTTAATTCCTCATGACCCTTTTTCCTCTTTTTAAATTGATTCCAGTGGGTTATACTTCTCGAATCCCACTCTTCTCCATTACCACTGATACTTCTACCCCCCCTACTATGTGATTTGAATTGAAAGTCACGTCTCTGTGTTAATGTGGTATGGCAGCTCGAACTGATGTACGTACGTACGTACGAAGTTCTGCATTATAGCTGTTTGACTGACTGACTGACTGAGTTGGACTTATTTCAATATAATAAAAACTAGTCCTGTCTACTACAATCTTAAATTTATTTCTGTTATTATATAATTGCTTGTAATTTTAGTTTAACTGCCAATATTCTGATTCTATTTATTAATACAATTCAAGTTAGTGAATTCAGTTACTTGTATATACATTCCAGTTTTTATTCAACCAATTCATCGGTTGAGTTAAAAATCAGTCTGTCAGTCAGTCAGTTGCAACTTAGGACTTCGTACGTATGTACATAAGTTCATGTTGTCATACCACACTAACACAGAGACGCAAATATCAAATCAAATCCCATAGTGATAGAGATAGTAAAGGTATTAATGGTAATGAAGAAGACTAGGGTTTGAAGATATTATTTAAGAAGTATAATTCAGTAAGATAAGGTTAGAAAGACAAAGATATAGGGGCTGACGAATCCATTGGCAAATGTAATTAACTACAAACATCTTGGAATTTTTAATTTGTTCTTTATTCATCTGTTTTTTTTTTTAGAATACTAAATGTTGACAAAGTAAGAAGTACAGTCAACTTTCAACGATATTATGAGAGACCAACTGTTTGGAGACGAAGATTTATGTATGAACGTTGTAAACGTATATATAACTCTGAGATGTCAAGAAAAATTTCACTTGTAATGCGTACACATAGAGTTGATCCATGGCCTCGTTAAAAAAAAAAAACTATTCATTTGCTTAGTTGTATTTTTTCCATTGTACAAATTTACAATTATTAGATTGTGCAACAGTAATACAAACCGTTTTGTATACCTAAATGGTACTTGTATTTCTTTTAAATGTTATGTCCTAATTTAAGCTAACAATAATAAAATGCGTTAAAGTAGCGGTTTATGAGGGGGAAAAACTATTGAAGAAAGGTAAATGAAATAGACTGACAAAAGTGCAATTTTTTTTATCATAGAGTTATAGAGATTGTTGTTTATTACTGAAATCGTGAATCAATCATTGTTAGACCACACCATTAGAAACATGTAAGCACTGGATGGCCGTTTCGTCTTGGTATGGAACTCATCGGCAGTGAGCATCCACAACTCCTACTAGCAGAAGTACTATGTAATTAATATTATATGGCCTTACATATGAAAGTTAACATCTGTTCCATTATGATCGTTTAATAACTTAATACTCAACGTCCTGAGTGTAGGGTTCCTAGTTGTGACCAGCTGATTTCCCTTAACAGTTTCAGTTAATTGTGACGACAGATACTATTCATGAACTTCACCTGCAGTTGATAGTTTATCCTTTGGCGATGTTGGTAGATGTAGGCTGCCTGGTTGGGGTCAGCGAGACGATAGTCACCGATGGTTAGAGACCTTGAATGACATGGCTCAGAATCGTTTGCAATGGCGCAGGTGCATCCATTCTTTGTGTTCTATGAAATTCTAAGCTTCTGCATTCCTCATAATCTCTACCTTTCTCCTTCTAAATTGATCTTACTGAATTATACTTCTCGAATCATATCTTCTCTCCCTAATCTTCTCCATTACTGCTAATACTTCTATTATTGCTATCACTCTTGGATTTGAACTGACAGTTACATCTCTGTGCTGATGGGGCATGGCAACCTGAACTGATGTACTTATGTACGAAGTTCTGCGTTGTAACTGACTGATGTTCTAAAAGTAGTTTTTAAAAAGCTTTTGAAAATCATTTTAACTTGTGTAACTAGTGGTTTTTTGTAGTTGAAATAAATTGTATCATCATATAATCTACATAATGTTGATTGCTCACGAAATTTACTAGCGAATCAGATATATACTGTTGAACAATGTTCTATGGATTTACTTCACGTTTAGATAACAGTATATAGAGTAAAATCCAAGCAGAAGTGTTTCCAGTATAAATTAATAGTTTAAGTGCTCAATTTCCTAATTGCCGTTTGAATTCTTACATATTATTTAAGTAAAGAGAAGCTCATCTGACTACTACACTTGATTGTTTCTTAGAATAGCATTATGTAATAAGCTGTCCGTCTTTGCTTTGTTTCTTCCGATCCTAACATCCTTAAGTGATAAAGGGTATAGAAACTGGCTCTTGAAATCGTTTGCTTGGTGTTACTCTCCAGATGTTGGAGATGCTTCAGAGATAGTTACTGACTTATCTTCGAATATGTCTAAAAATATTGTACAAGTATCGAATAGACCACAATATTACGAAAAATGATAGTTGCTACTATTATAAGTAGTTATATTTCATGTTTCTTTTATTTTTAATCACTATACTCTAATTCACATCCAGACTGTGAGTACCATCGATAATGATGAAATTAAAGATTAAATCTACCTGACGATCAACTGATGGAAACGTACGAACACTGGTACAAGGTGACACCAATGTATATATGAACCATAATAGGAATAAGATTATGGAGTGATAGAGAAAGGAAGGTGATTATATTAAAAAAATGAATAGGAGTTAGTATAAAATAACAATAGTAATAATGACAATAATAGTAATGGGAGAGGCAGTTCTGTTGAGAAAAAAAAATACTATCAAGAAGGATTCATTGAGTCAAAGAAATTCCTCTCTCTTAAATGAGTAAAGTGAAAGAAAGCAACGCTAATGTTTCCATCGGTTTCTATTGTGAGCCATGTCTGATTATGTCTTCAGTCACTGAGTTGCACCATCTCTAGAACCTCAACTAGGAAGTCGTGAAGGTCCAACAGATGCCAGTGATGTACAGCTTTCTTTCACATGATTACACTACTGATCACTTCTCCGCTTTTTTCAATCGGTGTCAGCTTCGGCAAATAATGAACGCTGTGGGATTCTCTGGGACGACATTCCCAATTCAAGCTATTGAAGTCGATGTTTCATGATGGTAACACTAATCGCAATATTGTCGCTGTGCCTAAACACATGTTTATGAACCTCTGCGTCACTAATATGGTGTTTCTCATCACGGGGTTGTGAAAATTGTTAAGTTACACATTATTGAAACCATGAAGGTCTTGGGTTCGGATCCTGCGGGGTGCAGGAGTCGTGGATGCGCATTGCTGAAGAGTCCCATACCAGGACGAAACGACCGCCCAGTGCTTCCAGGTTTCTACTGGTGGTTTAAAATTTATCGATTCATTGTTTCACAAATGTGTAATATGTTGTTGTAACTGAGTATTAGAAATCTTTCGGAGACAATGATGATCGAACGCAGAGGATGCTTTAACATCCTCAACTTGGAGAGACCAGGTTTCAAAAGCATATAGAAAAACTACCGTTACTGATGCGTTGTTGATCTGAACTTTTACCGCCTAGTTAACAACACAAAGGGACCAAAGATGGCTCGGATTGGCACAGACCATGTGGGCTTCTTCTGGCAATGTTCCGAGAATTGGTAGAGGTATTTATTAGCCATATATACTCCAACAGGACATACACCACCCTGATCCTTACCAGTCAGTTGATAACAGGTTTTCAGCCATCTGCGAAGTCTGGACGCTGTCATAAGTAAACCTATCCCTCAATAGTTGTTGCATACGTGAAGTGAACACTTCTTAAAGATAAGGACCACTATCGAATCACTCTGGAACGTCAAACACTCTGAATGCCAGAAGTTGGAAAACAACTCAGTAAGTTCCTTAACCAGAAGGTCGTCGCCATCTGTGAAAAGGGCCAGAGGTAAACAATCTGAGTTTGATGGTTTGTAGCGTTTCAAGAGTTGGATTGCCAGTGCTCGTAAGTAGGGCGTTTCACAGAGCTGCATGTGACTTCACTTACCATTTTCACGGCCTCATGCAATTGCAGCTAATGCTTATCAATACTTTTCGGTGCTTTGTTAGCTAGCCTTGAACCTAGATCGGTTTGATATTTAGTTTCAAAAGAAGCTATGACTAATTTACTGCCATCCATCTGTGTGCTGTACACAAAAACGTAAGATAGGAATAACGCAAACAAGGCCATGATCTGAGTTCAGTAAAGTACTCCGTAGTAGCAGTCTTGTAAAGAAACATGTTGGCCGTATCTGACCGCTGCGTAATCAGAGTCGAGGCTTGAGATGCAGACTGAGGATGCCAGGTAGCACATTGGTGATAACTGTGCGGATAGTTGTTGCTAGCCAGAAGCAGGTTGTAGTCTGAGCGAAGTTACAGTGGACGATTAATATTACCTCACCTACGACCACCCGAATGACTCTCGTCTGTGCCTAGACGTTCAGACTGCGCATTCTAATCTACGGCTAGCACTACAATATCTGTCGAACTCAATTTCTGAAAATCACTTAACTAGTGGTAGTGATTGTACCCTTCATTAAATCTAAGCTGCTATCTGTTGGTGTATAAGCAGAAATAACGTAAAGACATTGTTCTTCACACTGATTTCTCACTTTCATGAAGATATCTATCCTTGAAGCGTATAATCGACTGTTGATGGAGACTAGTTCTTCCTCAGCTCTATCACTTATTGCGCCACCCACATCTGCAGAACCAAACAAAAATACCACATAGTCTCTGAATAAACACACACAAAACAAGCTTTCTGAGGCAACAGATGAAGAGCGAACACGTATTAGGTCACTAGAGTCATGAATACGTGTCTCAGGTAGACAAAAGATATCTATGTTAAGATTTTCTAAAAGATACAGCCAACTCTGTCTATTATTCGACCTGCATTGGTGTGCAAGTGTTAAAAGAGGCCAGTTTGAATGGTAAACATGGTTTCATAAAGGCTGTGTTATTCACTGGTAGCATTCAACCAACCATTAACTTAAGATTATTTAGATAGGGCAACATTTCCGCCATAGACGAGCTACTGTATGGTGTGAACAATAAAAGACTGCACAAAATAGTATGATAAAAAAGGAATAAAAAGACTGACATGATTTTAACTGTGAATCAGTGTTATCGAATACTACTGAGTATAATTTATCAGAATTTAAACGGAATCAAGCATAATTTTCCAATAGTTGTAATTATCATAAAATTTTGTGCGAGCGCTGGGATACTACTACTATTACTACTACCAGGGTGTCCAAACTGAAGTAGGTTGTATGGCCGCTGACTGAATAAAACCAGACAATCAGCTTTGTTAAATATAGAAATACTATTTAATATTGTGAAGTTCTTCTTACTACTTATTTCTACACTGAGTTTCATTTTGTTTCAAATACTTATACTTTATGGGGATAAAGTTTTTTGCATTACGGGGTTGTTGTGAAGATTGTTAAGTTACACATTTTTGAAACCATGAATCGATCAATGTTAGACCACCATTAGAAACCTGGAAGCACTGGACGGTCGTTTCATCCTGGTATGGGACTCCTCAGCAGTGCGCATCCATGACTCCTGCACCCCGCAGGATTCGAACCCAGGACCTTCGGTATTGTAGGACGAAACGGCCGTCTTTCAGTGCTTCCAGGTTTCTAATGTTGGTCTAACATTGATCGATTCATGGTTTCAATAAAGTTTTTTGTTCTCTATAATCCAGTTTTTCAATTGTCGACTGTAAAATAGTGTATCTCATAAAGGTAATCAAATTAATCTCTCATATCTAGTGTGACCAGTTTGTCCGATTGTATTCCAACAGACAAACAACAGAAAGATTCTTTTACACCAAGATAATAAATATAAAAAGATACTATTTTTTCTGAAACATCTTCTTTCTGTTTTTTTTTTAAAAATCTTTTGACAATCATCAACACAATCAAATTAACAAATGAAGATGATAACTGTTGAATCATTTTTTAACATTAAAATAATTAACTATACATTTATCTTTTTTGAAAATCACATCGTAATATACGAAAAAATGTTCGCCTAAATGAAATATTTGATAATGCATAACAAAATGGATTAATCGGGGAATTCATATAACATAACCAATAAGAAAGATTATATAAATGTATATTGACACAACTTGTATGCGTATTAATATCATCACAAAAGCCTTTAATCAATACAATGATATGATATGGTGTCCAACAAATCATAAATGCACCTAATATAAGACTGATAGTTTTTAATGCTTTCCTAGCATGTTTACGATTTTGCATATCAATATTAGATAATGATTGAAACATTGAAAAGGTTGTTTGTCGTCTGTTGGTGAATGATTGTTGTGGCGGTTGTTGCGGTTGCTGTTGCGGTTGTTGTGACTCAGTTCGTTGTTTGCATTTCGATTTAAGTGATAATTTGTTACATTTTATTTTAAATTGATTCTGTTCATTGCCATATGTGTTATTATTATCACTGTTATCATAACTTTGTAGTTTACTATTGGTGGTACTATTGGATTGACCTTGAGGTGGTTGATTAGTAGTGTTTAAATGAATATTGACACATTGCAATGATGGTGGAATACAACAACAAAACAATTGAAGTTTTGATTTGATTTGTTCAATTGTCATTTGTAAACCAAGTTGTTTTTGATTAGGATTAGTCTGCTGAATAAAATTATTATTATTAGCATCTTTATACATTTGACAAAATGGACATATTTCTTGATTTGTGTTCATATTATTAGAATTTATAGTTTGTTGAAATTCAATTGGATATGATGATTTATCATGTAATTTATACCATAGTAAAGAATTCTGTTTCATTTGATTCAATATACAAGATGATTTCAGTTTAGATTTATTCCATTTATGCATAAAACGTAAACACCAATAATCATTGATTATTGATTGATTGTAATATGTTGAACTGAGATTATCACTTGATGTTGTGTAGTCGGAATATTCACACTGGGTTTTTATCCATTAAAAGAAAATGAATGAAAATGAATTTAGGATAGTTAGTTTTATAGTAATACGTTGATTGATTTTTTTTTCAAAGTAAAACATAAAATAGAGTGATTGTTTTTGTTACGCCTACACGTAAACACGTCAACTTGATATACTTGAACTATTACAAGTTTACCTAGTCGGAAAACGAGAGCGAGGATCGCAGATCCGGCGACATGATATGCTACTCAAATCCGATTATTACAAACCCCATATTGAGTAAAAGAAGACAAGACTTGATATGGAGTAGAACCTGTATTCTACAAGCATCCAGAAAGTACGAGGTCCGAATCCAGAAGAGAATCAGGATCCCGGACTAGGGATCTGGGACCGGGTCCTGGTCCTGGTCGTGGTCATAAAACGTTACAGATAATGCATATTTATACATTTTGGTCGAATAGGAAACAGCATCGAATTCTGTGGCATTGACATTTTAGATGACTAATAGGAAGTAACATTTGAAGTGTCATTGATAGTCAGGACAACCAATAAGAAACAACATTGGAGTATGTGACATTGACAGTCCGGATGACCAATAAGAGACAAGATTGAAGTATTTGAATTTGACAGTTAAAACGACCAAAATTTTGACCAATAGATATCGACCAATAGGATTTGACCAATAATTCTCTTAGGATATTGGATGAATATCCTAACAGTTTTCATTGCTGTACTCCAGCTGAAGCTCCTCTGGGGTTATTCCCGGTCCCAAGCCTGGATAAAGGAGAAGGGTTGGTCATTGGGTTTAAGACCCCATCCCGAAGAAAAGTAATTCGCTATAAAAAACGCTAGCCAGAACCTGGTCGGTGGCCTATGCTCCACTGGATGTAATGGGCGTAGTTAAGGTAAGCAAGGATAATAACAGGATAGATGTGTGACGATTGTTAGTGTCTAGTGTGTGGGAAATCCGAATACGCTTATTTGCTCATTTTTACATTAACTGTGGGATTTGGTGATGAATTCATTAGATGGAAAACTACTTTCCCTGTTTTTAATTTTATACGTTTTGTTTCGACTTCGATTAAAATTTAACTCATTTACATCAAGTCAAGTGAAATGCATTGGTCAGATAGTACTTACTATACAGGGATGAATATAATATCAGACTGGTACACACAATAACATTCTTAGTTTACTGATGAGACTGTTCATTGTAGTCTTGTTTAATTTTGATAGAACAGTGAGAAGACGTAATTGATCAATTACGTCTTCTCACTGTTCTATCAAAATTTATAAAAGGGACTAATTGTTTTAAAGTCTTGTTTAAGTTTAAGTTAATTTAATATACTGTTTGTTAAGTTATCTATCTAGTTGAGTGCTTTTCGTACTTGACAGTTTCATTTATACGTAAACTATGATAATTTCTAGTCTGGTAAAATAGCTTCACATAATTTTTGAAAAAACACCTATATTCGAGTAATAATGAACAACAGTGTAGATATTTGGTGTTATATTGATGTGAAAGTCAGTCTGTGACGAATCAAATGTTTCTGAAAGATCACATGTTGTCTCAACGTCAGATAATAAGTAAGAAATGGGAATAAAGATGGTCTTTAGTGAGCGCATGGGCTACTCATCTGACCACACTACCCAGATATCCACGGCCAGATACCTCCAGTATTGCATTGTATATATGAATTCTACGCACACTCACTCTCTTTTATAGAACAACATCCCATGCATCTTAATATCCATCTCCCATTTCCACTGGAGTAATCGGATAGTCAGGCATCATAGAAACGATTATCGGTCACTGAACTGAACTCACCATACTTATTTGTTGTATTAATGGTCAGCGCAGACATCCAGAGCTTGATAAACACCTGATTAACTTAATAATAGGTGTTAAGATTGAAATAACAAACGGGATTCCATAGTTTCAAACATCAACGCATTGTTTATTAGATTACTGATTTAAGATCGTTGGCTAATTTGTCGGTGACAAAAGGACTACGGGATTTATTTAAATTCCATTCGCTCACTCAAATTTAAAAATGTTCTGAAATTGGATCCAGTTATCGAGGTTAAACTTGTGCCTATTTAATAGATCGAGATCTTATACTCAAAAAGCACACAGCTTTTGACTAAATTAAGTTTCCTGCATAGTCAAACATCATCTGAGGAGTTATCAAAAACTAGAAAGCAGTGAATAGCTATTTAGGGCCCGTCTGGGACTTGGCAGTTTACATTCACAATATTATACAGAGTTGAATGTAGGACTTTTGAAATTTTTTTTATGCTTGTACAGATTTGATCTTATAAAGTTGAGATCATGAATACACAAAGAAAATTTACAATTCATTATTTAAAATTCAGTCGTGGATGCGCACTATTGATGAATCCCGCACTAGGAGGGAACGGCTGTGCAGTACTTCCAGGTTTCTAATGGTGGCTTAACAATGACTGACTTATGATCTGAATGAGAAAAAATCTCCATAACTCCATAGTGAGTAGCATTAAGTATGCTTACTAATGACTAGCCTCATGTGGAAATTTTCAGAGTTCTAGTGAGAAGCTGTGACCAGTGGAGTTAAACCCCGTTGGTTGTTGGCAATGCCCACCGAAGACAATGGTTGAGATTTTGCAATATCATGGTTTAATTAAAGTTAGACATTCACACCCTTGGAAGCCAGCGCAGTGTTCCAAAGGTTAAGCGTTCAAGCGTGCGATAAAAGGTCCTGGTTTTAATTCTCGCGAGCGAGATTCGTGGTTGCACACTGCTGATGAGTCCCAAACTAGGACGAAACGGAAGTGTAGTGCTTCAAGGTTTCAAAGAGTGGCCTGTCAATGATCGACACATGATTTCACTATTTACATGTCAAAAACTTTAAACAATGTGTAATAGTTAGTCATTGTGTGGTGTACGCTACTTATATTCACATAAGTAGTATATGATATCAAACGGAAATCAAACGTCTGACAGCAAAAGATCGAGGAGGAATGATTGAGAACAGAAGGCGATTTGTAGGTAACGTAAAGTGAACCGAAGTCTGAAAATTCTAAATGAAAGAACACTGAAATCTGAAACAAATAAGGATTAGTTTGCAAATGATAATTTCACGGGAAGGTTTTGTACATATGCATAACAACTCTGTAATATTCGTTTAAACATAGATTTTGATGTCCTCACCTGAGTTGTCGTGCACAACAGTTGATATAAAATAGAAAACCTGAATGTTTAAATAGATGTGTTGACTTTTCTGAACTAGCTACTCAATTAAATTTTCGACACAAAGTAATATCGATCACTAGTCATCTTAATTTTTTTAATTTTCACTTACATTTTCCAACAAACAACATGACTGCATACATTGATTCCAAGAAGCGGAATCAGATAAACACATACCAGGATGACAAACATTTCCTTCATGAATAAATGTTTGATATTTCAATAGTTTTGGACATAAATCATATTCACACAGATTTAAACCAGAATCATAACAAGCATCTTTTTTAATCCATACTGGTGAACTATCATTTGATTGAGTATATTTTGGAGAAATCGACTGACCACTTTGAATTGGTGAAGACAGTGAAACTTTTGGTGAAGGTACATAAAAATTCACCGAAGGTAATGAGAAATTGTCATCAGATAAAGAAGATAACGATTCGTTATTAGTATTATTATTTGGCATTTTCAATGTTAACTCTTCATATTTTGTAGATAATTGAGATTTTTCAATGATTGATGACAAGTGGGTTTTAATTTCAGTACTATTGTTATTTATTGGATGAAATGTTGAACAATCACTGGTTTCACTTCCATATTCTGAATGATATTTATTTGTATCGACTTTTTTAATGGGATCATTGTTGTTTGATTCAATGTCAAAGTTTGGTAATTCTTTTAATGTGCTAGATTGATTGTCACCGGTTATAATAAATTGATTCCTGATGGAGAAAAAAAAAGTAGATTTTAAAAAATAATGTTTATTTCACACAGATCTTCTATATAGCTAATGAAATTCGTTAAATTTGTTTAGATATAAACTTGTCTAGTGTAATCGATAGAATTTATTAAACATTAAACTAAACTGAAA